ACTAACACAATGATGGCCTGATCTTGATTGGGACCTGTAGGCCCTACAAATAATTAATAATGCTCCAAGAGTTGCTAGGTAGGACAAACTTTTCTCACTAATGCTGTATAGCAGGCACTAAGAGGTAAGCCTCTCAACTGATTTCCCCCCCACTTCTTGAATTGTATAGTACAAAGATGGCAGCAGTTTCTCTAAAGATCTGGCAGCAGGGCAACAAGTATTTTACTGACTGTCACGGTTATGGGGCAAATCACACTTCAGACCCCTTTCAGTTCCTCTTAAGTGCACCCCTTTGGAGGCAGGTTTCATTGCCTTCATCCGTCTCTGGGTGGAGCCCTATGGTCCTACTACTCCTAGACTGGATCTCGGGGCTGTCGGGTAACACAGGTGACAAGCTCAGAGGCTGCAACCTAAACTGGGTTTGGCACTGTGACGGTGCACCCTGTAAGGCTTCATGGAAATATGCTTATGAATGTATCTGTATGACATAACTGGAATATGTTTTATACTACATGTGCCATGTAACATATCTCTGTAAAGGTTATCATAGAATCATAGAATATCTGGGTTGGAAGGGACCTCAGGAGATCATCTAGTCCAACCCCCTGCTCAAAGCAGGACCAATCCCCAGGCAGATTTTTGCCCCAGATCCTTAAGTAGTCCCCTCAAGGATTGCACTCAGAACCCTGGGTTTAGCAGGCCAATGCTCAAACCACTGAGCTATCCCTCCCCTGTTACGATCCACTGAATCTATTCATCCTATTTGTATGCATGTGTCATTGTTGTATTCAAAGTTATGAATATTGGCTGTGTACTTGCTTGATTTCTAAGTAGCCTTAGTAAAGCATTTGGTCAGCTACTTGAGAAAGGAATGTGCAAATTAAGTGCCCAATCAAGAAACACTTAAAGGACAATGAATCTTGGAAAGCTCCAATCCACATAAGTCTACCTGAGGATGTTCAGGGTAGCATGTAAACAATGGCTGCTGCCTGTAAAAACTGAGTTATGCATGGACATGTGACTTGCCCATGTAACTCCAAAACTCCATCTTGGAGCTGGACTTTGCATAGAAGAGAGGAGGGGGTCTCCACTCCACCCACAAGAGAGAGTCTATTTAAACCCCTAGGAGACCCCTTTATTTTGTCTTCAGCTGGCTCAAGAGAGAGCCTCTCCACCCCCCAAGGATACCTGAAAGAAACTGGAACAAAGGACAGTAACTACAGGGGGTGTGAGTGATTGCTGGACCCAGACTAGAAGGAGACTAGTCTGTAAAAAGAAGCTTACTGGAACACCTCTGAGAGTGGGATTTTGTCTGTATTCAGTCTTCTTACTGTATTCGACTCAGACTTGCTTGTTTTATTTTATTTTACTTCGTAATTCACTTTGTTCTGTCTGTTACTACTTGGAACCACTTAAATCCTACTTTCTGTGTTTAATAAAATCACTTTTTACTTATTAATTAACCCAGAGTATGTATTAATACCTGGGGGAGGGGGCAAACAGCTGTGCATATCTCTCTATCAGTGTTCTAGAGGGCAAACAATTTATGAGTTTACCCTGTATAAGCTTTATACAGGGTAAACGGATTTATTTGGGGTTTGGACGCCATTGGGAGTTGGGCATCTGAGTGTTAAAGACAGGAACACTTCTTAAGTTGTTTTCAGTTAAGTCTGCAGCTTTGGGGCACTTGGTTCAGACCCTGGGTCTGTGCTGGAGCAGACTGGCGTGTCTGGCTCAACAAGACAGGGTGCTGGATTCCCAAGTTGGCAAGGAAAGCAGAGACAGAAGTAGTCTTGGCACATCAGTTGGCAGCCCCAAGGGGGTTTCTGTGATCCAGCCCATCACAGGCACCTTCTAGCCCTTTTCGTCTTGGAGCCTGTAACAGCTGATGAGAGTGACTCAAAACCAATTTTTTCAGAACAAAGCACTATTTAGTCATTCACCCAAAGGCATGTAGCACACTGAACAAAGCGATAAAACAAAAAGGCTATACACATATTTCCCCTTACCTGTATCTTCATATTGGTAAGCCCCCTTCAGCCGAGTTACCATCATCTGAGGGTTGGAAGACACAGACTGTCCTGCTGCAGCATGGTCTCTGTGTCTCATTGCATTCCTATCAGTGCTCACTGATGCTCCTTGAGCAGCTGCCCCCAACAACTCAGTCAACCCCCTTTACTCTTTTAAGCCTTGGATGCTTTAATGGTTTAGTGTCTCCTTTGATCCTGGCCTCAGGAATGGGAAGAGTAAACCTTACCAGCCTGGTTGGGGCCTGGCTGATTGATGTATTCCCCATTGTTTCCTCAAGGACCCCTGGTATTCTCTGGACATACCTTATCTTTGCCATTGTTTTGTTGTTACCTATTTGTTTCCCTTCTGCCATCCTCCTTTGATTTAATGCCTTGAACTCACGCAGGATAATACCAACCAGGTGAACTAGGGTGCATATGATATTTATAAAGAATAATAGCCATTATTACCTCATTTGGCAATTCCCATCTTCAGGTTGGAATTATAGTGGTGGGATTGGTACAGGTAAGCCATGTCAATTTAGCCAGATTGAGAAAAGAGGAATTTCATGCATGGGGGGGTGGGGGAGGGGTGGACTTTCTCCCCAGGAAATCGTGGTGGCTCACTTTTCCTGTCAAACACTGGGATGTGCCTGTAAATTTCATCCAGCAGAGAATGCAGCAGAGCCAGTCGATGACAGAATGGTAAAAGGAGTGACCTCCAAACTTCTTCAACAGAGCTCAAACGCTACACCAGGCAAAAGACATTACTGCAACAGAATGAACATAGCCCAGCAGGCAGCACAAGCACACTCCTCCTTTCTCCTCACTCCCATGGCAGGGGCCTATGCTAGTTCATGGCCCAAAGAAAATCTCCTAGCTTCAACCAGAGTCTACGCAGCCTGGCAGAAAGGCGCAGAAGCCTCATGCCCAAGAACCCTCATAAATAGAACACGCCCTGCTATCAAGCTAACAAGTCTTAACCCTTCCACCAACCAGCAGGCCCTAAAAGAATTCTGGTGGATGTGGTAGTCCTAAAGGTCACTGCCAAACAAACTCCCAAACTGAATTATTGAACCAAGAAATGTTGTGGGCCAAGGGAACTGATTTTAAATTTGAAATAACAAAAAGCAACAAAACACTTGTTTTCTGTTTCAGCATCTGCAGAACAATAGTCATTGTGATGCTACTTATTTCTAAAAATACAAACCTGAAAAAGAATCTTAGGGTAGGATTCTCTTCTCAGCACCAGGATGTGAAGAGCTCTACATGACAGCAACAGCAAATGTGTTGCTGTGAAAATGGGGGTGCTTTGTTATGAAAAAGGCAAGTTTTAACTTGAAACAAACGAGTGAGAATTTGCACTTTGTTCCAGGTTAGAATATAGGAGTTTATCAAAAATAAGTGTGGATGCTGACAGAAATAACCAAGTTTTACTTGATCAGATTGATGAATACCTAAGAACTTGTTTTTACCTGCAGAAAATTCACAGTGATATAATGGAGACAGGCTTCCAGCTCTGTACAGCGTGAAGTAGTTCAATGGTAGAGTGGAAGCATAAGCTCACCGATGGGATGGAAGAAAAGTGCCCACCAGCCATCTAATCAAGACCCTTTCCTCACAGCTGTGTTTGTTTTCAAATGAGAGTTCTGAGGGAGGACAGACCCTTCCCTGTTAGTTGTCCTTTCAGGTTACTGTAGAGACCTGCACTAGGAGTTCCCCTGAGCCTGGGGTTCCTGTCTGCTACCCCTACAGAAGAGTGTGTAAATCCTATATCCGGCTTCCTGTTGGTCACATGGTTCTTCCTAGTCATATGTCCTGTGACTACAGCTCCCAATTTTAAAAGGGACACAGGTCATACCATTCACACTGTGCTATGCGCATGTGAGTCCACACTCAGTACCCTCTCGCAGGAGGGAAGGTAAATAAAAATGTTTCCACTATTGCTTATGTTAACAAAGCAATGTAAGTGTTTGTAGTGCTACCTTTGCCTATTGAATTTCAAAAATGAAAGGGTGAATTCTCTCTCTCCTGGATGGATGGGATGCCTATTAATGACAAGAATTATGCTTGTGCACTGAGGTATAAATATTTCTCCAAAGGATAAACTGTGGTACTAATTCTAGTAATATGTGTTTAAGGTATAAGCGGTACGAAGGGAGGCATTGTGATTAAATACGGGCCTGGGAAGCAGGACACTTGGTTCTGTTCCTCTGTGACCTGCAACAGGTCACTTAAGGCCTGATCCAAAGCCCACTAAAGTCAATGGACAGACTCCCATTGACTTCAGTAGACTTTGAATCAGGCATCTGGGCCCCAGTTCAGCAGAGCACTTAAACACATGCTTAAATCCTGTTGACTTCAGTGTGATTTAAGCACGTGCTAAAGTGTTATGCTGAACTGGGATTTCAACATCCTGTGCTTGTTTCCTGCAAACCTTATATTTATTAATGTGGGGGTAATACCTATCTCTTGTACAGCATTTTGAGATCTGTTGGTGAAAATTTGACATTATTTATTTATTTATTTATTTATTTATTTATTCTTGCATTGTTAAACGGAAAGTGTGATTGTACATGTCGTAAATGTTTGTAATGATTTCTAGTTTTCAAAATATGAGTACAGCTAGCTAGAACCCCCTTGAAAATTAATCCTCTCCTTTTTGTCTTTTTTAATTTCAACATGTGAAACATTAGCATGTTTCCTGGAAAGATGGAGGAGTGTGAGAGAGAGAGAGAGAGCAGGTAGTAGTAAAGTTAGTAAAGCACATAGTAAATCATTCTTTTGTAACTGATCATTAAAACATAAATATTGAGCAATTAATGATCAAGAGATGTTCATCTAACTTTTTGTTCCCTTCTGTTTGAAGACTTGCATCCATACGTTCAGTCTTTATCACTATGTGTGAATTTGGTGAGGAAAATCCAGAGAGAATGTTGTCTTGTATTGTTGAGTACAGAAATAATTCCATTTTGGAAACTGTTTTGACAGTGTTCATACATTCCTCCCTGTGAAAGAGAAAATCAGAAGAATTCTGAAATTGTCACTCACTGGCAGGAATACTGGAAAGTGGAAGTGGGTTCACAGCCATTTACGTGTTATTTTAACGAGCATCTAAGGTAAGTCACTGCCTACATTTGCATAGCTAGAAATATTTACAAAACCTTTCCATCCTCTGCTCTCCATCGGCCTTGTTTGAAGCAAACTATTTGAAAACATTTTATTTTGATAGTAAAAAAATGTGTGAGAGAATTCTCATTGCTGGTGAACAAAGTATTTTTAGTTTTTTGCTGTTGAATTTTTTGGTGACACCAAAAGGCAGTTGCCCCAGAAAAAGTTTCACTACATTGCAAAAGCTGAGTTTGTTTTGCTACCAAAACTGACAAAATCCTTACTTGTAACAAATTTGTGTTTCTTCCCAAAAGAGGGAGGAATTCTACCATTTTCACTGTGAGGAGTTGTGTTCATGGAGGAAATGAGCCTTAGATTTGATTAATGTATGTTCACACAACTATCACTTTTCATTCTTTCATACTTACAAAATGGAGAGTTGTGGCTTTAGGCAACTCTACGTAGGGAATTCTTCTTTCTGGGTGTCTTTGTATTTCCCATTAGCAGTAGTGGGACTTACACATGTATCAAGGGATAGATAACTCTCTTAGCTTAAAGCAGTCAATTTACCTCCGCATATATTTTCCCTTCTCAGGTACATGCATTGATTATTGTTCTTCTCTTTTCCTGTTTGTCTGTATCTTTCTGGTCATGATGTGTCCAGGAGTAAGTGTTATACATCCTTGGTGAGACTGCATCTGTAAAACTGCACCATGTCATTACCAGAAATGTACAGCCAGATTGCTTTTCCCTGAATTCCCTCCAATGAAAAATGACTATATATCTGCTGGGATGGGCATAAGAAAAGATTTAAAAAACAAACAACCTCCCAAGCCTAAATATGAATCAGGAAGACTCGATTTAATCATGGATTTCTACATAAAAGTGCATTCTTGTTGGTTGTTATAATCTTAATACATATTCTTCACAACTCAGAGATAGATGTAGCTTTCATTTTTAGAAGGTACACACTATACATTTTTAAAGTGATTTATTTTGAAAACTTTTCAGATTAGTTTTACAGCTATATCAGACAGTGAATGATTGTTTGGTTATTTCATTTACCAAAGGTAATTGAAGCAGATATTTATGAAGTCAGTGGGAGGTGAACTATGTCCAGTTCAACAGGTTAATCATTAATATTTGGAGGATTTTCTTGCCAGGCTGTATTAGGAGGAGAACATCACCAGACAGACATTTAAATTGCTTTATTTAACTAAATCAACATTATGTATTCTGGATTTTTTTCTTCAACAGCAAGCATGTAATATTTTAACAAAACAAGCATATGAATTTTTTAATTTAGTTAAACATTCAAGTTTTTTAAAATCAGGTTTGTTTTTGTTAAAATTGTTTTTAACTAAAATAATTAAATGAAATATTAAAAAGAAACAAACCAAAATTAAATCGCCTGTCAGCCAGGTCAACATGAGAAACGTAAAATATTGGCTTCTGCCGCTAACTCAGTCGTCTTCACCTTCATTTTCCTGTTTGTTCATAATCTGGAAAAGAAAAACAAGCTATCCTGCCTTTTTGGGTCCCAAACGATTTCTCAATTTTTCACAGTTTGTTATAGCTTCTACTGCTACTTCTTGTAAGTATTCTGCTGTGTGTGCATTTCCTAATATATCAATTGTTTCTGTAAGTAAGACATTCCCTTCTTCGGTTGTCACACAAGCACGTACAACAGGACATTGTGGACATTGCTCCACCCATCAAGACTCAAGTTAACTATTTTACCCTTTAGACCTTTTGCACACTGCTCAATTTCTCTTTTATACACGTTATCCAGCAATTTGCCTGCGACATCTGCTCTATTGGGTGGACTGTATCCTGGTCTTAATGACTGAACCATGTTAATGAAGTGTGGGTTCTCAATCATACAGGAAGGAGAGTTTATTGCATAAACAAACCGGGAACTTTTTTCATCAATTACCTCTTTTTGTAATTTGCTGGTTCTTATCACAAACTTATCTCCATCATCCAAAAACAACCATAGATTTTTTTTTTCTTTTTGCTACAGGTTATATACTGTGGCTATGTGACATACATGATGAGACTGAAACACTATCATTGGCAGATAACTCTGAAACTATAGAAAATAATGGTGATCTTGAAGTTCGATAGTCTTCAGAATCCTGTATGTTGAGGATGGATTCTCCTAAACAAAATAAGTCAATGCAGTTATTTAATTATTACGATACTGCTCATTTAGTATTACTCAGTGCATTCACTGACACTCAGTACTACTTAAAAGGTGAAATTGTAAAAGGAAAATCTGCCTATTTCAGCTATTTATTTTTTATCACAACTGCATCTAAAATGATAGTACCATAGAATAACAACTATATTTTTTGCTCAAACATGAGAATTCAAGAATAGTCCAGAAGGGACACAGGCAGTCCTTAAGAAAGAAGTATGACATAAAAAAGTTTACCAACCTAAAGCTCCTGCATGTTCAGACATGTTCCTTTCATCATCTTCAACGCAGCTTCCTCCTAAGAAGGAACACTTCTCATGATGTTGTTTCATTTGGGCAACTAGGCCTTGCATTTCTTTGTTGCACTGTTTGCATTTTGCACACATGCCTGTTTTACCCACAGGTAGAGGAACTTCATTAAAATATTCCCAAACTGGGTCTCTTTTATGGCCTGCTGCCATTATAGGTTTTCCCTTCTAGTGAGAGAATGCCTGTTCCTCCCTTCTCACATTTATCTCCAGACGACTTCTCCAGATCTTGCCCAGATCTTTTCCGTCCCCAACAATCTATTCATTGAACTTTTTGAAACTTTGCACTTTTAGAGAGAGGTAAGGGATTGACTCTGTGTACACAAATTTGCAGAGGGACAATAGGGTTGAGGTCTGTTATTTCTCACCTCTATATATTATTTATTTAAAACATTTTTGCTGTTAACAAGCATGTTATCTCTAGAGACACAAATACACAGTTTGAGAACTGCAAAACTAAGCATCTCTGATGGTATCTTCTAGACTGAGCCCCATTGGGTAGATAGAAAGATTAACCTGAATAATTTATACAGAAGCCCCCAGAACTCCATAAAATTGGGTCCCTAATCCATGAACTATTGGAACTCATTTACAAAACTTTTCTTAAACATTATATGACTATATTGTCTCATACTATAGAATTAGAATTTATAATCCCTATTCCATGATGAGATGTCTTTGAGCTATAATGTATCTTAATTAAAACTATTTTTAGATAGGTTTTTTCCTCAAAAAGCATTTTATCAAAAAATCTGATTTAAATTTTAAAAATCAGATTTTTTTTTAATTTAAAAAAAATCGTTGATTTTTATCCACCCTGATATGAATAGTGTGGGTTAGGCCCTGATCCTGGAAGTGCTTAACCCCTGTGCTTACCTTTAGTACCATTGGCATCAATGGGGTTCTTCACGGGAGTCAAGTTAAGCATATGCATAAGTGTTTGTAGGACCAGGGCCTAAGGGAAGAAGGGGACCCAATTCCATAAATATTTGAAGAGTGTAAACAGCAAGAAGAAGGATGGATGGATTAAAGCAGGATCTGTGGATTCAGTTCATGGGCTGGAAATGGGGATCTTGGTCTCAGAAAAGTGTCAGAGACCTTCCAGCTGATTCTCTGAGCTAAAGGCAGACCTCAGACTGGAGTATGCACTGAAGCCAGAGTGCTGGCGCACAAACACCTTCATTCTGTGCTATCTCACTGCACTGACTTTCATTACTTTCAAGATTGTTCACCACTAGGGTGCTGCTTCTTAAGATAACTGCATTTTATATTAGGTTAAATTTTATTGACAAGTACCAGAGATGCATTATAGTTTTTTGCCTTTGACATTGCTCTTCTTATTGATCATACAGCAGAAGGAGAGTGTGATGGGTTCCACCCGGGGTGCCACCTGGAACTGGGTACCACTGAGCCCTCTGACCCACCAGCCTGGGCTCCCTCTCACACTGTGCTGCTGTGACAAGTTACAAAGCCCTCCAAGCTTGCACTTTCACCAGCATTCACACAGGTAGGGACACACCCAGCTGCAGTCACATGCAGGTTCTCTAACCACCAGCGTCCCAGCCTAGGACACCAGAGCAGTACCGTCCTGCCCTGGTCAAATCTGGCCAGTATATGGGTTTAAAACTTGGTCTGCCTCTCCCTCAATATGAAGAGGACCATGCACACTTGTGGTAACCAAGCTGAGATTTTCCCCAGACACCTTAGTCAAACGCACACTGGTTTGGATTAAAACATAAAATATGTTTATTAGCTACAGAAAGATAGATTTTAAGTGATTATAAGTGATAGCAAACAGATCAAAGCAGATTACCTAGTAAATAAAACCCCCCACAAACTGAGCTTAACATACTAGATAGGTAGGGTATGAGTTAGCAGATTCTCATCTTGAATGATAAACGGGCTGGCAGATTCTTAAGGCACAAGTTGCCTTTGCTTTGCAATTTGGGTTTCCCAGGTTTTCATACAAAGGCTAGAAATCCCTTTAGCCTGGGTCTATCACTTCCCCCAGTTCAGTCTTTGTTCCTCAGGTGTTTCCAGGTGTGGTGTTGTAGGGAGAGTGAGGTACCATCATGATGTCATTTCCCTCTTTTATATCTTCCTCCCATTTCCCACAGTTCCTGGGGTAATCCTTGTGCTTGTGTGCATTTCCTCAATAAGCCATTAACATTGTTTGGCCTTTTCACTGTTGTACCTGAAAGACTGCTGGTGGGTGTTTTCAACCTCACAACATGTTTCAGTAACACATACGTAGCCAAACTTCATAACTTCACATATAATGATAGCAAATACAATCCAACAATATATTAATGTCTAGCAGATCAAGACTTTTAGAATGATACCTCACAGGGCATACTTTGTGTAAAACATATCCTAATTACATGACAGTGGGAATAAGGGGGTGCCAAGGTATCACACAGAGGTTCACAACAAAGTGGTTTAGAGATGTTCAAAGTGCAAATAAACTCACTAATACAGCATTGATCTGATCGCATATCTT